TAAGAAGAAGATGAAGCGAAAACCAAACAAAAACCAACACCAGCGGCAACAATGTGTGGAATGATGCCAACAAATGTCAACACCGGCCCGTGGAAAAAAGGGAGGAGATCTCGACCATCGCCAGGAGTTGGGCGTCGGGAGAGGAGTTTCGGGTCTGGGAACTGTTGTTGGCAATAACAAAAGAAATTTACAGATATTACACAGCATGGCTCCATAATAACACCAATACACATGCCAAAAAAAAAAAAGGAGAGAGAAAAACAAAGGGGCAGTAAAACCATTTGCATACTTTTGTCTGCGCCCTTGTGCTCCTGCTGTGTGTTGGTGTGTGTATGAGTGTATATATGGGGGCGTGTAAACAGCCCCTTTTTTTTTTGGTTTTATTATTGTTTCATATTTCTCTCGTCGCTGTGTGTTTCTTTTGTTTGCACGAATGTAACTATGTCTGTGTGTGTGTGCACGCTGCGTGGAAACCAATTTTAAATTTGTTGCCACTTTTGCCAAGTTACGTAGCATACATTTCGGCGCTCCGGCGGGGAAATTGTTGCCAGGTCCAGAGAGCGATAGGGTTTCTTTATGCATAATTTGATAGGGGACGCCAGACAATATATATATAGGTGTATATATACACCTGAGTGAGTAGTGGAGCACAATATGCGAGGGCCTATTCTCACCTGTCTAATTTCGTTTTGTGTATAAAGCGGCACAAAGTGGGTCGTATGTTGAGGAGACCCTTATGCCCTCATAGTTTATTACCTTTTGTCATGCGCTGCATAGTTGGATTACAACGCTTTATTGTACCCTGTAAAATCTATGGGAGTCTGTAAAGCAAATTGTTCTTTGCGTACTTCAAATATTATTTTAAAGAGTCAGAACTTAGAGAAATATTAGAAAGATAAAGTCAGAATACGCAGCAGGTCTTTATAACCTTTTGCAGATTTTCTTTTTGCAGATTTCAATTTCTTTTTTAGTAATTCGGGAAGCCTTTTACAATGAGTTTGAAAAATATTCATAAATTATAGATTAATAAAATTTAAATAAATAAATAAAACCTTTAATCTCTGCTTCATTATATACTGCAGCTTTACTTATTCTTCAAGGCACCTTTTCTCCTTAAGATTAGCTAGCTTCTATCAAAAGGAAAAGCCCAGCTTATGTAGTCTTATTCTGCAAATTTATCTCCTTGTCTCAGTAATGGGTATCAAGCATTCGAATCGCGGAATCACGACCAAAAGCGTTCACACGACAGCAGCATCTGTTTAAACTGTCAGAAAATACCGACGCACACTCTTACACCCCCTCCCACACACACACACCGACATACTCTGACACATATTGTCATAAAATTATTCAATGGATATTGTGAGTGCAAAAGTTTTCGGTCCTTTTTTTATTTTCTTCTTTTTTTTGGGTGAACTTCTCCGTCCTGCCCCCGCTTAGCCCTTTTGCAATCTTTTTGAATAGGATTTCGTAAGCGTTACAAACTGAAGACCGAACAAAAAAGAATAACATTAAATGGCAAATGAGAAGCTTGCTTTGATATTGGATTTCGGGGGGAAGGGTCGAAGGTTGTCCACAAAAAAAAAAAAAAAATGTGGGGCTGGTCGAGGTCCGAAAGTTTGTTCCCAAGCCACCAAAAAATAAAAAAAATAAAAACCGAAGCGTAATTACCAAACCCATGCAACGACCAGTTCAAGGTCCGCCCCGCTTCGGGATTTGTTTAAAGAACGCAGCTCATTCATTCAGCCCGAAGATAAAGTGCTACCAATTAACGCAAAATAAATAAAACTCAACTAATTGTTGGAAAAAAGCAGACCATAGACAAAGGAGAAGTAAGAGACTGACTGAATGAAAGAAAGCCAATGCGAGCAAGACAGGTACACAAGCAGAAAAACATGAACAAATGAAGTAATTTTAACTTTTTTTTTAAGATTAAGTAAATTAGATTAGATTTGATTTTTTTAAAGTTTTTATAAAAGAAAATGTGGTTAAAACACTTCTTGGGACTCTTGAGGATCTGCTACGATCAGCTTTGGCATGCAAAAGGATGAATGTTACAAGGACTTGCTTTGTGTGGTCAGCTCTGACTTAAAACATATTTATTTAAGCCATAATTTAAAGAATATTTTATTTAAGTATTTTAATAATAATAAAACAAATTAAAAGATGAGATATATTAAATAGTTTTTATTGAAAAATCGGTGTCTAAGTGCATTGCAAACTCTTCAAAAGGACGTCGCGTGGTCGCGACCAATTGTCTCCTGGACTTTCTCCTCTGCTTTCTCCATCTTCTGGCCATTCTCAACAACGACGATGACCGTCAACCGTCAACATTTCTGCAACTGCCACAATGTTGTCTTCCTTTCTTGGCTTTCTTGGCCCATTTCTATTTTGCCTCTTGCTATCCATTTGCTTTTTTCTCTGTTTTTTGCTGCTTTACAATTTTTACTGCCCTCGCATTTGGCGTTTATTTTTCTGTTTTCTGTTCTCCAGCACCCCCCTTTGCCATTTTCTTTGCCGCTTTGCTTATTGTGCAAACTTGGCATTATTGTTTCCTAAGGCCAACAACGGGAAAACACAACGTCAACAGAGGGCAAGGAGGAGTGCGCGCTCGGCCATATTTGGGCGACGTTGGAGGAAGCTCCACTCCTTGCCACTCCACTCCACTCTAGTCCACCTTGCCTTATCGCCAGAGCTCCTCCGCCTTTGTTGACTATTCGGCGTTTCCCTATTGTTTGCAAATGCGCAAAATTAAAAGCGGGAAAAGCGGGAAGAGCGAAAGAAAGAAAAGCGCGAGAGAGCCAGGGAACTTGAAGCGTAGTCTTAAAAAAAAAGTACAGGAAATTTTCCCAAGGAGTTCTCAGTCCGTTATGTTTACATTTTCGCGCATATATTTAATTAGGCTAATTAGGGAACGTGCCCCGGCTTTGGGCAAGGCTTAGATGCTGTAATTTATTCGCCGCATGGCTTACTGCACTTTGAACACAATTAGAGGAATGGCCAAACACATGACACGGCAGAGGAAAGGGTCCTTGCCAGTGATAAGCATAAGAAATATGAGCACCGGATATAAATTGTGTCAGCGGCGAAATGATAAAAAACCACTTAAAGGCGCAAACAATACGGACGCCGCGGCGGAGGCCGCCAACAATCCTGGCAGCCGGCACAATGACAAACCGCTTCGCTAACCGCAAGGCAAGGATGGGGGCTCAAGCGAGGGAAGGGGAGTTGAAAGGACCCTCAGATAGCACAGACTGCACGACGACGACGACAGCGGAAATAACAAAAGGACACAACTTGCGATGACTGTGCAAAGACGACATGCTGGTGTGTGGGTCACTACTAGAAAGGCACACTCAAAGAAAACTAATTAGCTTATAGTAGGATTAAAATTTTGTAAATGTTGATGCACATTTATATATTTATAAAATAGAAAACTAATATCCGGAAACTAAAGTTTACATAACCGTGCAGTTTGCCATAATTAATATATCATAATAATATATCATACTAATATAATATATATATATATATATATATGTCATAAAATTGATTGAAATATTGGCATTCTTTGAAACGATATTTATAGATATTTTCATACCAGAATTTCTTGTGATATCAAAGTTTAAAAAACGTATAACTAAGCCAAAAAGCATTAATTTTAATTCGGAAAGCTTTCCTCGTTAATTTTTGTTGGGTTAATAAATCTGCATATTCATTTTAAAATTTAAAATTATTGTACATTTTTGACAATTTTAACGATGTAAACCCTTATACATTTTTTAAAATATTGGTACAAATTTTTTGTTTTGCCAGAGATGGCTAGATCGACTCGGCTGTTGATACTGATCAAGAATTTATAGGGTCCGAAATGACTCCTTCCAAAGTTACAATTATAATACTCTGCAAAGGTATAAAAAGAGTCATATAAAAGCCAAAACTTAAAGTAGACCATATTTTTGTATCCCCCAACTCTAGCTCATTTTCTTCAAGTGCATGAAAAAGAATTGTGGGAACATTTTGCGCCACCGTCAAGTCATTTACGGCGTGTCGCAGGGCCAGAGCGTCCAAAGCCCTCAGACGGACATTAACAAATACAATAAAAGCGCCAAAGATAGCACGTCGGGCTTTTTAATGCGCAAAATTGCAAACGTTTGCTGGGCTTCTGTGCTGGCCTGCGAAAATAATGCGAAACGGAAGAAATTAGTTGCGTGCAAATTTATGCTTGGGGTTCGCTTTTGTCGACCCCGAGAACACACTTGGAACATTGGGCACAGGAAAAGGGTCATTTCGTAGACGCGTGAAATTTCAGGCCCAAACCCGGGCTCAGACCCACTTGCGAGCGTGCCGTTTTTTACAATTTTCCATCCAATATTTATGGCTGGAGAGGTGGGGAGCTAGCGCCAATAAGCTGTGGGGTTTATATAGTGGCTCCCTCTCTCACTCTCTCTCTCTCTCTCTGGAGGCTTTAAAATATAAACCTAATGGAATAAGACCTGGACTCTGGTGTTTCGAATTAAGTCTACCAGGACTTTAAGAATGCTTATTACTCTTTTTGAAATCTCGTTTTTAATCATTATAAAAAGGTACTTTTTATACTATTATTTTTATTAAACCTCTTTGCATGAATTTAAAGGAGAAAGACAAGTTACTTTTGGTACACCACAAGAAGACATTGAATTGAAAAATGTTTCCACCATTTTTTATATGTATATGCTCCCAGCATAACCCACACCACACACCTTTCCTTACTTTGGAAACTTCCACATCGCATTAAAATTTACGACCTTCGCGGCGACATCCGAAATGCTCTGGGAGGCAATTGCTGACACAACTTATCGACAATATTTTGGTTATATTTCCCTTTATTTACATTTTCTTCGACTCTTTTTTTTTGCATTTCCCCAGCGGCTGTAGATCCAGCGATAGCTGGGGAGCAACTACTTAGGCAACTTTTAACACATTTTCCAACTGTTTTTTCTCCCCCGTATCCGTTACAGCTTCGATGTGAGAGGAAGACCCTTCGAGAAGGCCCTGTACTGGTCGGACACCAACTCGTTTGGGCCACGTGCGTATTTTGTTACCGGACAGCAGCCGGCCAAGTTATCGGTGGACAACATTCAGCTGGATGACGAGGGCGTAAGTGGCTCAAAACGGACCATTAACGGGTCCCCGAAAAGTGCGCTATGTTATTGTGAATTTCTTGTTTTTATTGCATTCCCTCAACAGGTCTACCGTTGCCGCGTCGACTTCCAGAACTCGCCCACGCGTAATCATAGAATTAATTTAACGGTCATTGGTGAGTAACCCCCCCTAAAGGCAGTGCAGTGTCATTAAGGAGAGCTTTGTGGAGCACACTCAGAGAAATGACTCCCACAAAGACTCCCTTGATATATTTTTAGACAAAAACTTCATTTATCAAATGAACTTTAAGGAAAATCTTACTTAGAATGTCATCGAACTTATCAATACTAACTCAAGTTTTTCCCACCCTAAGAAATACTTTGCTCTGAGTGCATCCTTTTTGTAACAACATCTTCACCTCTGCTCTCCACAGTTCCTCCGCACCAAATACTCGTGTACGATGCCTCCGGTCGCGATGTTGCCGGCGCTGTGGGTCCATTGCTCGAGGGCGATAATATTGTGTTGACATGTGAAGTGCGTGGCGGTAAGTAAATCATGATAAACGACACCAGCGCATACACGTACACACTGCCACATAAATGTGGCACTCAGACAAAAGGCCATCAAGCTCGAAAGGTCGGCCACAGAAACGCAACGGATTCCAGTTTTACAGAGAGAGAAAATTGATACTATTTAACCTAAAAATATCCCCAACTAAGCTTTAAATATATTTCAAGAAATATAAGCAGATTTTACTAAATCAAAGTTAATTAATCTTCCAATTAATTCCGCAATTTAACAAAACCTATTTATAAACCCTAGCTTTATCTAGTTTAAATTGGTTTTATTAAGCTCTTTGCTAAACTTTAAAGCCTTTACGGCCACGCCCTGTACCAGGTGCTAGGATTTTCCACACCTGCATACATATATGTATATCTATCAGTTATTAGCAAAGAGCCAATATTGATACGCGATTTAAAACCCTCCTGCAGGCAATTGCATTTGTTTTATACAATACTTATGTATTTGCTTAACTCTTCCAACTTTGGTTTGTTTTATTTTATAAATTTTCAGGTATTTATTGATTTTTTGCCAAAACCAATTTGATATGCTCTTGACAAGGCAACCATTTGGCCAATTGAAAACCTCCATTTCACCACAAAGATATGCATGAAACAAAAACCAAAAATAAAATTCATTTCCTGCACTGCGAATGATAAAAGTCTCTAAACAAAACCAAGCTTGTAATATGCAATTAGAATCATAAGAGTAGTTTTTCTCGGTGCAATCAGTGACTCGGTTCGCATCCCTTTCCACTCGACCCTGTCAGTCTATTTAAAGAATTAAAGATGAAAAGCTTCAGATAGACCCCAGCCGTGACCGGGGAGAAATATGGTGGCCGGGGGGAGGGGACAGAGGACAGGCTGGCTAAGTCATCGTAAATAATAAAAATAAATGTATGTCAAAGTCTGCGGTGACATTGCCGCTCCGCAGACACACCGACAACATCGTCTGCGCTGTCAGTGCCAGTTTGCTTTCAAAGGAAAGGAAAATGCAACAATTTTCCAGCGTCTGGGTGTGCTTTTGTTGTGTACACGCCACCACATCCATTGGCCAAGCCATGACCTGTAGGCATATGCGGCATCGTAAATCTTTAAAGAGGTCCCCAAGGTGAACGAAGAAGCACAGCTCCCTATTACCTCCCACACACACACGCCCCTATCGACCGCATCCCCCTAAACTTTTCACTCGCCTTTTCAACTGGCAAGTGTGAAAATTTTTGTACAAGTTGCTCGCTTCACTGGCTGACTGGCTCTGGCTCTGGTTCTGGCTTGAGGGTGCCTCCTCGCATGACTGAGCCCCCATGGATACTGAATGCGAGCTCAACCCAACGGAACCGGCGATGGCGACGGCGTCGACGACGACGAATGCCCCGACATCAGCATTATAAATCATTAACTTTTCTGACAACAATATTTTCGGCACACACCCCAGGCATTTTCCATGTCAACTAGCAGCCCGATTTTGCGAGCAGCTCTCTCGTTTTTTTCGCTTTAAGTTGAAATTTTCCGCTGGTGAGAAAGTCCTTACTGATATAAGCGAAAGTTTTTAAGTCCATTGTAAGAGGGGAATTAGTTAATTATTATAGACGGGGCACAGTTCACATTGAACTGCTTGAATTACCTGAAAAAAGTTGACACTACTTAAGAGCCTTTCAAAAACAATCAAGAAACATAAAGATTTAAGGCAAGTTTAAAGCTGAGAGATCCTTGAACCCTGAAAAGGCCAAAGTAGTGGCCCAATTCCGGCTCAAGATACCGCTCTCGGTGCTCTTGCCAAATGCTAGCTCATTATTCGACACGCCTCTTCTTGAATGGCAGGCAGGCAAGAAGTTGGTGCATGTGAATGATTTTCGGGGTTGCTGCCACAGCCACAGCTGCATCCTTCAGCCACCGTTTACGTGCAGCATTGTGCTGCCAAAGGATTTGAGCTGCACCTTGGCTTTGCTTTGGCACCTGTACGTCACGTCGTTGCTTTGACTAACCGCATGTGAATGAGCCAAAGACCCAGTCCACCGGAGGAGTGTCAGGACTCAGCGGGTTTCGAGGAGCTCGAACAGAGGCAGAGGCACAGGCAGTGGCAGAGTGGGTGGTGGCAAACGTGAAACTACGACGACAACACTCGCTTTTGACACCTGCTGAGCGACACGCTTCTTGGCAGGTGGCGCAGGCCCTGCCAGTACCTCTGATTCGTATGCAACATTTTGAACACAATCCCAGAGTTTCACTTGGGGAAATATAGTAGAAGGTATAGCCTAATAGTAAATTCTAAATATAAACATATTATTTAAAAAACCCTCCCCAAGATAATCCCCCTAACCTTTCTAGTTCATGATTTTAGACTCAAATTTCTTCTATAACTTTTAAAGGACTCCTTTTCCAGTGTATTGGTTAGCTCCTTCGGAGACCGCACTGCACGCTCGTATTTCATTTGGCTCCTGCAGCAGCGGGTTAGGGGAAAACTGAAAGCCAAATTAACTAATATCGCAATTTCAACGCCACATGGCGTCGTCGGTGCGATGGTGAGGAATTGTGCCGGCACAGGATTGGATGGAGGATGATGGAGGGTCTCGACTCCGCTGCGGGTCCTGATTAAAGCTAATGCAAATCCTGACGCCATTTTTATGGCCAGCCACTAATCATAGCCCCCGGAACACAATAAACGCCAAATGCCAAATTGCTTTATCAAGTTTATTAACTTCGACTAATAGCAATTAATACCGGCAATAAAAACCTAATCTAGGCATGCCCCCATAAAAGGGGCGCCCCCCTCCCGGTTTATCCATTGTGTGTCCAGTTTGCAGATCCCGCAGTCCTTTGCATATTTCTGACCCCCAGCTCTTGGCTCTGGCTCCGGCTCCGGCTCCAGATCCGGAGGAGCATTGTCCGGCAAGCAATTGTCAACAAGCGTAAGTATGGCTTAGCAAATGGCAAACGCGCGCTGTCTTCATTACACAAAGGAAGTGGGCGGATGGTGGGAGGACCTTGTTGTGGGTAAAAAGGAAGGGAAATGAACTGGGGATGGACGGTTGGGTGGTAAAGTCAGCTAAATGCCGCAGGGAAACTGTTATTTGTCTATTATCTCTGCACTCCCACTCCTGTACACTTTTCGGGGAGTATCGTGTGAGTGTGTGTGTGTGTGTGTGTGTGTGCGTGTGTCCTTGCTAGCTTATTGTCGCCGAGTATCCTTTGCAATCAGCCACAATTCTGGCTGAGTCGGGGCAGTAAATTCCCAAGTCCACACTCCAGCTATCAGCTACTTTCACCCGCCAATCTTCACCCCCAAATCCCCAGTTCGTCTTTATGGACCCAATGCACTGGGGGAAAAATGGGGTTAGAATTGCAGTTATACACAATACACAATAGGAACCACATTACTTTGATAAAATAAAATAAATTCTTTGATAAAAATTCAACCGACCTTCCATCAAAGTCTAAAAATAATCAATGAAATATGTTTCTACATTTCCCTAATAAGTAAGTGATTAGTGCTAGTGTCAAGAGTATAAAATTTTCCTTACTGTGTACCCCTTGCCAATACCCCTCCAGCTGCTTGTTGCTATTGTTGCTCATTTCCGCCGCATTCACTTGGCTCACTTAATGGGCCCAAACCAAGGCGAACCCATTGGCAATGGGCCAAGGGGGGAGGGAAGGAAAAGCAGCCCGGGGCTTCGAAGCTTTTGGGCACTTAAACGGATTAAAAATATTTTCGTACATTTGATATGTGAACGAGGGAAATTCCCTCCCACTTTCTCCGAGCAGAAGCGAAAAAGTGATTGCAGAATTTCAATTGAAATCCGAAATGCCGAACTGCCGGATACCGAAAAGTGCATCGAGTGCTCACAACTCACCACTCAGGGGAGTAAATCGATGGTCACTCAAACATATAGCCAAGTCATATTCTCTTAATTTGGTATTTACACTTTGGACAGGTACAAATGGTAAATGATCCATTAAAGCCTTAATTGCGGTCACTTTAACAACTACGAAGAATACGATTTATTGATTTATTATTGAATTGAAACAAATGAATTAAGATTATCAAGCTTCTCAACACTTTTTCCAGATTTTAACTCAATGTTTCTTCTTAATTTCCGCAGTTTATCCCATAAATTTCAAACATAATGTGGCAAATGAGACTTTGAGAGTTTTATAAAGCGATTTAAAATGTATATTTTTAGAAAATTGTTTCCCATATATCATCATTTTGTAAATCCTCTTTTAATTAGAGCCTAATATTTTGATATATTTTGCAAATTGAATGCTGCGCTAGTCAAAGCTTTGTGATACACTAATCCGCTTTACAATCGCATAAATATGTGTCTAAATTTGCCTTTATAATCTACCCCGATTGCCGTCAGTATTGTTTCCCACCGTCCAGGGTCATCAGCATAGCATGTCCCCAAAAAACTTTCCCCGAAAAACCAACTAATTCAATATTCACGCTTATGCGTTTGGCGGCAGCATCCGTCCCCTTTGCGTGGTCCATCCATCTGACCATCCATTTGCATCCCCGTCCCGGGCAGGACCCCAACTTTGCTAGTTAAGCTGGCTAAGCCTTTTTTAAAAGCCTTGGGTACACACTGCTAAATGCGCATTATCATTAAAATGTTGAAAGTTTCCCTCACTTTTCTTTTTTCGGTCATAAATTTTCGAACGCGGCTCTGTGGTCACGCCGCTTCCGTTAGAAAACCACCTCGGGAAAACTCTTGCTAGACGAAAAAGGGCGGGCGGGTTAATAATGCATGAGTGGAAAAGTTTGCGGGGGCCGGAGCAAGAAGCAAAAAAAAACATTTGGCGTAGAAAATTTAAAATTAATTTATGCATTAAATATTAATTTAAATTTGAATTTAAATTGTAAAGGGAGAAGCTGGAGTCTTACCCATAATAGGGAAGTGTTTTCTATAGCATAACCCTACATGCAACTTAACTGGAATATATTCATATTAATATATTATATTCTTGCAGAATATTTTATTTTAAGCAGAAGCTTGTAAATCATTTATATTCTTGATCAACAGCCGAATAGATCTAGTCATCTCAGACGAAAAAAAAAAACTTTGTTTTCTATCTTATCATCTACCATTAACACAAACCCCACTTTGAGCTAATATTTTTTGCTAGTAATAATTGTGAACTGTGTTTTATTGTACATTCAGGCCGCCCGGAGCCAACGGTGACCTGGCTGAATGGTACTCGCACCTTGGAGGCGGGCAGCGGGGTCTCCATGGGTCGCCATGTGACCGTCAACCGGCTGGAGGTTGCCCAAATCTCGCGCTCCGCCTTGAACAACACGTACCGCTGTCAGGCTTCCAACACGAAACTGGTGGCGCCCGTGGAGCGCAGCATCCGCATCGAAATGCTACGTGAGTGGACCCGAGTCAATATGGCGAGTCACGACTAATCCTGTTATACCTTAAACCACCCACAGTCAAACCCACATCAGTCAATTTAACCAATAAGTTGAAGGTCTTCGCCTCGAACACGCAGTACAATCTCACCTGCATTGTGGCCGGATCGGTGCCGGACACGGAAATCAAATGGACGCAGAATAATCGGCCCTTCAAACGTGGCACGGTAAGCTCTTCTCCGGCGACTCTAACTCAGTCTTGGCACCCCGCCTTCGACATCACCTTCCTCTTATTTATGAGTCACCCAATCCACCTGCCGATAGCCGGCCACCGGGCATTTCTCTCTAATCAATTCCGCCTTATCTCTCTTATCCCCGCCCACCAGCTGTCGACCAGCCAAGGCAATGGCAGAGTCATCTCCACGTTGACGTTTTATCCACAACCCGAGGACGACGGCACAATGCTCAAGTGCGAGGGATCCAATCCAAGGCTTCAGAACTCGGCCATCGAGGATTCGCTCATGATGAATGTCATATGTAAGTGGAACGTTTATTTTACGAAATCAAGTGGAAAAAACCTTAGATTTATATATATTTAATTGGACTAACTAAGAGATTAGTAAGGCTTATTTATTACGACAATTTTATTAAGCCCTGCCAAGTTCCCTTGCAAATTATAATATCCTTTGGCAGAGATATAAAAAATTACTCCGCAGCACACAAATCAAAGTCGCGTGTGTGAATAATTCTAAATTATATGACATTATTTACATACAAAAATACTACACATTGAAATTGGCCCAGTATGAAGCCGTTGGCTCATATGTCAATATTTATTCCATTGACTTTTAGCGCGGCCATAAAAAAAATGCTGACAAAAAAGTTGTTTTCTGTTTTGCTTGGTTGCCTGCAAAATGTCATAAATTTTACTTTATATGATTATCAATTTAAAATCAACAGCACACGCCCCTTCTTGGGGTTTCAAGGGGACTCAAAATGGACGCAAAAAATGACTTAAGTTCCTGGTCTCACACTAAAGTATTCCTTATTGCATTGCCTTGAAATAATCATAAATTTATTGAATTTTAAAGTCACGCATAGATCCCCAGCTATGTATGCGAAATGTTAGCATAAATATTGAATGTCAATCCGCGTAAGCTGCTAACTAAAAGAAGTATGGCGAAAATATGAAATTACAAATACACAAGGAGCAAAGCTCCTTGACAGGATTAACGAACATAGTTTAAGCTCTTAATGGACCAAAAGCTTTTGAACATGGGAAAACTACAGGGAAAAGGACAGTGAAACCATAAAACCGTGATTTGTTATTTTTTCTGCGATAGAAACTGCATGAGAGCAAATGTTTTACGCTTTTCCCTCTGCTCTGGTTAACCCCTTCTCGGGCATTTCTTTGAGCCATAACTGTTGAAATTTGTTACTTCCTTCCCAATCATGATGCCGTAAAAAAAAATATAAAAAAAAGCGAACTGCAGACGGGGAAAACACTAAATATTTTATACGACCCATCATTGATATTGGGGCGTTGCTCGCGGCAACGAGACCGATTTTAATTTAAAAATTTTCTGTCATACTCATTGGTTAGCCTGTTTGGATGTGGACCTGGATCGGCATGGCGGCGGTTTATGCCGCGGTTCCGTCGATGCGTTGTTAACTTTTACGGGCTCCGCTCCACAGCAGCAGCGTTTTATTATGCAATAATATTTTTCGATTCTTTATTTTATATGAAAGGGGGGCGGGAAGAGAAGGCTCCTTCTCGCTCGACGCGGTAATTTGAATATAAAAAAGGAGAGAGCAGCGCTGAGCGGCGAACAGAATTTCCATATTAGCGAAAGCAATTAAAATGGAAAACCTAACCATTAACGAGTGGGGTTTTCTGCGATTTTCAGATCCGCCGCAGGTCACCTTGTCGCTGGGCTCCACACTGCGTCCGGACGATATTAAAGAGGGCGACGATGTGTACTTTGAGTGCCACATCAAGTCCAATCCCAAGGAGCATCGCATCATGTGGTCGCATGACGTAGGTTTTCCTTTTTGCCAAACTTGTTTTAATAATAAAATTAACTTTCATTTATTACTTTATCGTAGGGTCAACCTGTTAGCCAGAATGTCTCCTGGGGCATCATCATCTCCACACGCTCCTTGGTCCTGCAGCGTGTGGGACGCGTCCATTCGGGTTACTACGCCTGTTCGGCGGCCAATGATCGCGGAGAAACGCAATCCGCTCCGGTCAACTTGAGAATAAGATGTAAGTAGACTCTACCCATAAATCATACAATAAAAATATAATATAGAAACCTATAAAGTTGATAGATTGCAAATTGAACAACACATATGAGAAAGCCACAACTGTTTTAGGTCCGGGAATATTTACCAAAAAATATGCCAAAAATGACCGACAAAATGTGCACAAAAATTATGCTGACAGTTGATGTCAGTGGAGCGGAGCATTAAAAATACATATGCATAAATTTATGCGCAAATAGACACACACACACACGCACAGAGCCCCATTTACACATTTATTCTATACCGCTCTCCCGACAATAGCTGGGATGAGCCACGCCCCCTCTCACATGGCAGCCACAATAACAACAAACGGCAGTGCACTTGACAAAATCGCACAATATCCTTACACTGAACCCATCTCCCCCTCCCTCCCGCATTGTGAAACACACACACACACAGGATGGCCAGCAACAATGTCCAAAAACTAAAGTATGCTAAAATGACAGCAAATATTTTGTGCAAAAAGCCGTAATATGCACAATGCAACGGATCTATATTGTCCCGCTCCACTGTCATTCAGTTACATCCTCTCACACAGAGAAAAATAATTTGGAAAGTTCAAAATAGATTTTACATAAAATGTGTGTGGTATACATTTTATTTAAGAACATACTCAAAACTATTATTCTGATCAAAGCTAAAAGTGAACCAAATCTTTAATTTTATTCATAATCGATTTAATAAAAAGTAATGAAATGCTTTGTTTAGAATTTACTTCAAAGAAAACAAAAGATATTATTTTTTCTTATTTAAAAAAGATTATTCTTTAGTAGAGGTAAAGTCAGCTTCTTTTAAAAATAAATAAACCACAACATAAAAATTCACAAAGTTCAATTAAAAAAGCAAACATGAACATACAGACATTTTTCAACAGTGTCACCACTTCCTCATCAGTATCCTCCTCAGACATTTTATATTTGCCCATTTTATATCCTTTCTTTCTCAGTGCTCACATTGTTTTTTAAATTTAAAGTTACTTTGAGCTAGAGAATTCATTTTGAGTTTATATTTTATAAAACAAACAAACAAGGCGACTTACCAAATTTTTATTTGCAAAAAAACCAAAAATTCAATCCTGAAAAACTGCTTGAATGAACTATAAAAGCATTCTAATAGCTGAACCGATTGAATATAAACACTTTGAATTCAAAATGAACAATATTTTCAACTATTTGTATCATAATTGAAACCGCGACATCAGGTGCACTTATAATTTATATTAAATATTATGAACTGGGCTATCATATCACACTGTCAGGGGCACTTCAATGAGTGAATAAAACTCTGTTTACATTTTCCAAAAATTCAAAACAATTTACAGTCGAGTAATCCTCTCATATCAAAACTCGTAATAAATGGGAAACGTTTGCCAAAATAAATGCAATGAAACTTGATAAAAATGTGGACTGGGAATAAAACTGCATTCACATTAAAGAGTACCACCAACTTCTAGGTCAAATTACTAAAGCAAACGCTGATTCTTGTATAATTTTGTATATCGGTCACCTGTGATAGTTCCCAGGACTCCTAACTCCCTAACATTTTAATGGTCCCCAATTACCACTTGACCCAGACAGAGCCGACTTCTTGATAACAAAAGCCGTCTGGGTGTAAATTGAAGCCAAATAAGTGATAACTCAATTGATTTCTAATTGTCACAGCTCAGATTTGATGTGAGTTTTTATTGTCACACAACAACTATGTATCTATCTAGCTTTATAGCCTCAATTTAGCCTCTTTCACACTTTCGAGACCGAAATAGTATGTAATTATAATTTGTGGGACGACGTATCCACCGGGGGACAATACAGAAATAAATGACCGATAAACGTTGCTCAGAGCCTTTGTGTGTGTTGCTCACATATTGAAAATGTCTCAATTACCGTTATAGAGCATTTACTTCCGACTATATTTCTAAATAATTAATGATGCTTAAATACCAAGCACAATGTTTGTGTGTTTGTCAGTTTGCCTGTGCATAAATATGCATATGTTTTCATAAAGTATCCGTCCGGACATTCCAAAAGCCATCGGTGGGGCGGGCCACGGGGAGGCCATGAAGTTTAGCCCCAGAACTCAAAGTGTCAGCAGGTTGGGTAATAAAATGAATGATCTGCTTTTATTATTGAAACCCACAGTCATTATTAAGCCATTTATAATTACGGGTAAGGTCAGGCGAACGACCACCGAGCGACCGGACAGGTACATAGGTCAGGTGAGCACTCACACGCGCATATATTATGCAGGGGAGGGGAGAAAATTCAATTTTTATTTTGCATATTTAATGCAACACAAAAATTATGAAATTCCCACATGCAAACAAGCCGGGTTAACGAATATTATTTAATTAATTGCCCGGAAAATGAATATTTTGATGCAATTTAAGCCCGATTTTCCCTGGTCAGCTTATTAAACTAAAAACAAGTAATTATCTGCAATTCATGCGCTTCCCTGCACAGATGTAATATTCCACAATTTTCACGGCCAAGGAATATTATTGAAATAATTTAGCACAACATCAGCATCGTTAAGGGTATCGTACCCAAAACAAATGTGTAATTACAACCGGTTTTTTGTGCCTCGCCAAGCAGATGCCACAATTAAATTGCCTGGGATCTACCTATTTCCAGGATCAAACTCAAATAAGAAGCAACATTTTCGCAGCATCAGCACCAATGTGAAATTGAAGTCGAGAATGAATGAGAAACAACAGTAACGTAAAGAAAGCACCAAAACGAAGACATCAGCAAACGTTTACATTGCCTTGCCATTATCGAATGCCCAGCACCGTTACCCTTTTTGATAATTACGATAATTGAAAGTAAATACGAGTACAATGCATAAGGATACACCGCCATAGCCATTCCCATCGCCATCGCCACCAACTGCTGAACAAATACTACGCGGACTGTTTACACGAGCATCGCGCATACGCCACGTAAACATTTACATACAGATGGGTGAATGGATTGATGGTTGATTGGATATGGAAGGGAGTGCAGGGCAGGACAGGGATGGAGTGGGGTTTGGGGTTCAGCCTTATTGTGGGACTATGATTGAGATAAATTGATTTATGGCAAACCCTGCTGCTGGCTCCTATCTCGCCAGAAATTAATCAGCAAACGTTAAAATTGACATTCTACGATTGGGAAATTGACGCTGTCATAAAAATATTACGAGTCCGGGTTGAATTTATTTCCCTACAAGTCCCTGGCATCATAAAATGAAACAATCAACTGCAGCCTTATTCCCTCCTTGATGTTTATAATAATCCGAAACAGCGTACTTATGCCGCAGATTCGCGGCGGTCGCAGGTCTCTCTCTCAATTTGCATGGCCTTAAACCCGAGTTCATAATTCTCGCGAAATTCCATCTGGCAGCCACGCTGCTCGGCAAACAATACCACCGGCTTTCATCTCCCTTTTTGGCCATCTAATTGGTTTGCTGGCCATGGGTTCTCACGACCAGCCAAGACCATCCATTACTGCACCGAGCGCCCCAAGGAATTGGCTCAACCCGGGCATTGCATTTCCGCGAAAAGGGGCCAGCGACATTTAAGATGAAACCCAAATGAAGAAGGATGTGAAACCACAAGGGATTTAAGGGCAAAGGTAAAGCAACAAAGACTGAGTAAAATAAAGAAGAAAATGCTGACTAGAAAGCACACTCGACACTGGATGTTTTTCCTAGCTATCATCTATGTTCTTACATTACAGAATTTAATGGGTTTAAATATATGTTTTCTATTATACTTCTCTATCTCTATATACAACATAGTGTCGAACATTTCCCGAACAACCGATCAAAGATTTAAACATAGTTTAGACATTTTCCTCCCACCCTAGATTAAAATATTTGTATACAAACGCATTACAAGATTCTCCGCTTACGCCCGTGACACACACTAACTTTTCAAATAATTTTTAATAAAAAGCAACAAAAAGTGTTGTGGCTTTTGGTAATAAATGCCTTCAGGTGCTTAGAGTGTTGCCTGCGTGTGTTGTGTCTAATGTTGTTGGTGCTGTTGGTTGTCTTTATTGTTGCCATGTCTTGGGCCGTGTTGTGGGGTTGTTTATGCCAGAATTTCGTTGCCACAAGGCAAACAAGGAACAGAATGCGACGCACATCGCACACTTGGCGCAGTTTTCAAAAGTTGCTAGCAAAAGTTTCTTTTTTCCCCTGTCGTGTGCCGTGTGCGTGGGAGAGGGGGAAAAGATGGAAATTTTTGGCATGCCGCGTGTATGACAGAAAATTTCAAGTTCAATCGTTTGTAACCAAAAGCGGAGAATGAGTTTACTTTGAATAAATCATGAGTCAAGTGGAGGTGAGAGTCGGGAGCCTAAGCTATGAGGAAAACTTTTAACCGCCAGCGGGAGTAAAAAAAATAGGAAGGGGATTGAAAGCTCAACCTGTTTACCTCACCCAAAAATGTTTAACTAATTAATTTAAATTAAATTTTAAACAATGAATCAATATTTACAGTGAAAGTTGAAGTTAAAATTTGGAAATATTTCTTAAACACAAGAAAAGTAGCTTACTTAACAAAGCCAAAGTTTGTTTACCTTGGCAATTTACGATTGGATCTTGATATCGAATAAAAAATCTATCATAACTACAACAAAAGAACATTAATATTAATTCGGATAGCTTTCCTAGATTATACAATCATTTCCACAAATTTTTAATCATTGAAAAACCATAATTTCTATTGCAAATTAAAGAAACATTAAATCAAAGCTTGAAAATACTGTCTCATACCTGCACAAAGTCTCAACGCCATCTGCTTGCTTTGGCTTAAATTGAAAATCTAAGCTGTCAATTTATCCTGGGATCCCATTCCACCGGACGACTGTCAGCACAATGTTTGCAATATAAATACTTGATTTAGACAGAGAACAATCGGACAATTGCAGCTGCTCATTATTTTGCATTTCGTTCGACTTCTCCACTGCTGCTCCTCCACTGAATTCGATCTCTCTCTCAATTGTGTCGCCAACAGATGCGCCCGTCTGCAGCAGCAGCACCATCACCGTGATTGGCGCCTCCTTGGAGGAGGCTGTGCCCATACCCTGTCGCGTTAACTCGGATCCGCCCGAAATCGATTTCGAATGGACCTTCTCCACCAGCGGTGAACACTTTGAGGTGCCCTCGGGTCACTATGCCACCATCCAGGATCCCACTATGACCACCACCAGCGATGTGAGGCGTACCGTTGTGGAGTCTAATGAAACACACTTTGAGAGCTATGGTAGGTACATTTTCTTTACATTTCGGGGAGAAATTTAAAAGGAATACATGCCCTATACAATAATGAAATTTTAAGTAAAAGTTTGCCTGAGTTTGGGATTGAATATCTTAACGTCGACTTATTATGATACATAGTTCTTGCACAAAACTAACTTATTTTCCTGAGATTATTGAATAATAGGTTTTATAGCAAAACATGTCCAGTTTTAGCCCAGTTTATACTTTATAGGCCTATGATATGCACGCCTAGAGCCCACCCCAAAGAAGGGGCATTTTCATGTGCTTGCGCCTGAGCGGCTGTAGAAATTAACATTCCGGATTGAGCTGATAGAGGTGGGATGCATGTATATATATAGTGTGTACTGTTAACTGAACAATGGAGGTGGGCGTCAGTACATTTATCAATATCATGAGTGTGTATACATACAAGCACTCGCATAGTGGCAAATTGGATTATCTGATGCCGTCCCAGTTGGCTTGACTGAGTTGCTTGGGCAAGCAGAACTTATTTCATTTAACTTGACCGAAGGGGCCAATTTAATAAACGCCGAAACTGTATTGCAATTTACACCTGTATTCTGTTTTCCCCCTCTTCACCCGCAGTGGAAACCGTCAGCGAGCTGATCTACACGCCCAAAGGAGAGCGAGACTATGGAACATTGGCTTGTTATGGCCGAAATGCGATTGGCAAGCAGTCAGAGCCATGTGTGTTTCAGGTGGTGCCAGCAGGTGAGATCAAACTAAGGGATAAATCATGAACATATTTGTGATCTCTTCTTGTAACCTTCACTGATTTGTTATTTATTACACATTTTGTATATTAATTACCGACACATTCACTGATTACATATTCGCTGTGCTGTGTCTCCTTAGCCAAGCCCGGAGCACTGAGGAACTGTACACTCCGGCCGTACGTGGTGACCTCCGCATCGCTGAACTCATCGAACCAGACGACAATGCATGCCAATCAAATGCTGCCCACACAATACGGCAGACACGAGTCGAATTACCCGCACATGGAGTACGTACGTGAGCGCAATAACAGCAGCAGTAGCAGGAGTAACAACAATGCCACGGCCCGGAACAATGCGTCCAATAAAAATATGAGGGGGAAGACAAGTGCTGGCCAGGCCAAATCTAATAACTGGCAGCTCAGCCAGCAGCAATTGCAGCGCCTCAAGAAGCGGACCTCGTTTACGCCGTCGCAGACATTGGCGGCCATCGAGAGGCAGCGCCAGAGGAAGCAGCAACAGCAACAGCAACAAGCCACTGCTGGCAAATCCACTGATGGAAAAGCTGATGGATCGAAAAAGCAGCGGATGCGGCGAGCCAGCCAAATCCCACAGAGACTCCCAGGACAGCAGGAGCAGTATCAGCATCAGCATCAGCATCAACATCAGCAGCATCAGCTGGATGCAGGCAACAAGCTCCGACTGAGAGCATCAATAACAAGCCAGCGGAAGCCAGCAGAATCAAATTTATCAATGTCACATGTAGGCAACGGCAAAAGCAAGAGCCAGAGCAACAGCAAAAGTAACAACCCGAGCAGCAACAATGGCAAACTGCCAGCAAAGTATTTTAATAAGCGACAGAAAAACATGCACAAACAGAAGCACAACCTAAAGCTGAAGATGAAGCTGGAGCAGGAGCAGGCAAACGAGCACAACGCCAATATAATCCATCATTATGCAACTTCGAAGCGAAGAAAGCGGCTGGCGTCAAACGACATCTTAGCGACTGTGGCAGCGGCAGCAACATCAGCATCATTATCCTCCGATCCTGTGGCCACCTCATTGGCGGCCACATCCACGGCTTCGCTGCAAATCGAAAAGGATGTGGCTCTGAGCAGCAGCAGCAACAATAAGCGAGCTCGGAAGTCCTTAACAAACGCTGACAAACAGAAGAAACAACAGCAGCAGCAGCAGCAACAGTTGCTGCCGCCGAATGCCCCGCAAATAAGCAACCAGCCAGCAGCATCAATTAGCAGCAAGGATGTTAAGGAAACATCAGCAGCAGGAGCTGCAGCAGCAGCATCATCAGCAACAACGTCGCAAGTTGCAGTTGCATCAGCAACTGGGGTCCAGGGCAAGACGACGTCTAAGCGGCAGGAGGACTCTAAGGATGATGACCAGGACAATGACGATGTCGCTGGCAACGACGATGACGATGACGATGATGACGACGATGATGATGATGATGATGGGGCAGAGATGGATGCTGACACAGAAGCCGATGATGGGGAGCAGCAGGATGAGGAGACAACTGGCGATGACTCTGCAGACCTGGATGAAGACGTTGCCCAGCTGGCCACCGATGCCGATTACTTGGCCGATGGTCCAGGCGATTTAGATGATTACGAGACGGTCGAGGAGGTGGATGGCAAGCCACAGCAACACGAGGACATCTTGTCGCTGGAGCAGCAACTGGATCTAGAGTCGCTGGAGGACAATGTCGATGCCGAGGAGGAGGCGGGCGATGACGATGATATGTACAATGTCAGCGATGATGACTTTGTGGCCAGCGTGGCCCTCTCCACTTCCGACACAACGACAATGGCAACAGCCACATCCAGGCCAAAGGCAACGGAACCACCTCGCAAAATCAAAACCAAACCAAAAGCCCAAACCAAAACCAGAACTGAATGGCAGCAGCCGCACTTCGACTACTCACGCATGGAGTATAGCTTCAGCAACGGAGTCGTTACCCAGAGCCTGCTCGGTGGTTCCGGGACAGCAGCTGGAGCGGGGGCCGGACACGATGCGTACGGACCGGGCGGCGGAACCATCAATTTCGACAACTATGACAACATCATCTACTCCACCATGGAACTGGAGTGCATGCCCGGCTATGATGGCGGGCTGCAGCAGCAGTTCTTCCTGGAGGCCTACGATTCCAAGACTAAAAAGCTAAGGCTAAATATGAGCAGCACCTATGTGGATGTGCCAGTATTTAGAATCGATCTATCAGGTGAGTTAATATAATAAATCAAATAAAGCCGAAGTTGATATACCCTTTTAGTTTGCTATTAAATTAAATCGAGTCAGGAATTGATCATAACTAAGCTTACAAAATTCGCATTCTTTGAATTGATAACTTAAAGTTAATAAAACGTATAACTAAGCCAACAAATCATTATTTAAATACGGAAAGCTTTTCTATGATCGCTTTTGTGTTAAGAAATCTGCATACTCAATTTAAAATGCAAAAACAAGTAAAATTAAATCAAAATAATATTTATAAAAATAACATAAATAATGCATATGTAAAAAAGTATAAAAACAAGGAGATGATCGTCACTCACTTTGATATTTGTTGCTGGAAGTTCAAGCTGCGAAATCGCTTTACCGCTGTCTCAATGTAATTGTCAATTCGCAAAAAGTTATTCGCACAAATAAGGGCACAACAAAAAGTCACCAAAAAAGAGAAATACATATATGTACATATTCGCGTGTTGAACCACGGAAAAAAAATAACTTCCCGCACTTTTCACCCACTCTTTTAACCGCTTCGCTTTTCTTCCATCTTGTCTTCCTGGTATCGGCAAACGCCGCATGAAACGGCTTCACCGATCGAAGGAAGGAGAATCGCATAAAAGGGAGGCGGAAAATAGCGGAGAATATCACTCACGGTGTCAATATTACCGCCTTTTTTTCGTACTTTGTTCTTTCGTTTGCCGATGCTTCTTCTTCATCCGCGCGTCACGCGACCGAAAATTGCGAATTGGAGGTCCCTCTTTTTTTTTCGCTGGCTGCACCTGTTTGTTGGCGATCGCTGGCGTTGTTCATGTTTTTAAGGATATTACATATATTTTAGCACTTATTAATCACTTGTGCTACACTAAAACACCGCGGGAGCTCCTAATTCGGTTTAATTGTTGTTGCCCTTCACTTATGTACGACTTGTGCACTTTATTTATGGAGCTGCGAACTCGCCAACTCCTTTGATCCTAATTGCACAATTAATTATTGTTGATACACAGCGGTTTTGTTATCCAATTGGTAGACCGGGTTGGTTTTTCTGTTTTGCTCGCCTTTTATTCTTATTAGGATTACTTTTAACCGGCCAATTTCGTTTTTTTCCCGCAAATTTTCGCTCCGCAAAATTTTCGTGGCCATTATGGTTGTCGTTTTTTTTCTAATAACATGCTGTTATTTAACATTTTACCTCTTTCACGTCTACATGGCCATTTTACATGTTTACAGATACATGGGGTCGAATTCTTATGTAGGAAGTATAATTCTTATGTAGGAAGTAGAATTATCATGTAGGAAGTCGAATTATCATGTAGAAAGTAGAATCCCATGTAGGAAGTAAAATGTATTAACAGATCTGCTCTCATTAACAGATCTGCACTCGTTAACAGAATTCTCTCTCGTTAGCTGTCGGGTGCCAGGCTGCAAAATTACGATAGTAGAATCGATATATCGATGTTCGTGCGTTTGGATAAAGGATCGTTTAAATAATTTCAGTATCGATATTGTATTGTTGGAAATCTTTCGAAAAGTATGCTATAAAATATTAGTTATGGTTTCAAATTAAAACTTCCTATGAAATTTGTAAGTAAATTATTTTAGTGTCTGATTTTAGACACATTTTCAAATTATTTGAAAACTAAAATCATCTTATCTTAAATTTTCTGAATTGTCTTTTATCTTGAGCGCAGACCAAAACTAATATGATTTTTTTGTAAGCTATCTCAAGTTTCTTGAAAATGGTTTAATATCATAATTAAAGTAAGCAATTAAAGCAAGCAACTTTGGATGCATACCTAAAACAGATAGTTCTAGACCTAGGCCTGATCCCTCTAATAGCTTGTAAATATCTACATAATAAATTGTCATTGTTCAGACTTACCCCGGTAGATGACACATTGTTATCCATTTTCATCTTTACTTTATTCCTTCCAGTGTAGATTTACTTTCCTGGTGACTCCAATTAGGCTTCTCATGCTAAGATCCACGTCAGCTTATTCCTGGTAATCCATTAGTCAGGAGATATAGTTGGGGGCGGAGGTAATCACTATCACTGCCACTATCACAATCGATGTTATCACTGCAGGTGCCACGGACAGACTAAGGGCGGCGCGCCGCTAGCAACCCTCTATTTATAGTCCGCGAGGCAAGAGAACAGAGAAAGTGTGAGCGAGAGAGTAAGGGAGAAAGAGGGATCTGCAGAGGCTAGGCTGAGCGAGGTAGAGAGTAAGAGGTACCTGTTAAGATACACATAAACAACTAACGAGAGAGAAAGAGAGGGAGAGTGGGAGGGCAGTTTCCGATCGCTCCTATATCAGCTATATGATATAGTCGTTCGATCCGACTCATTCAGATTTATTTACCAGTGACTCGGCAGTTTCGTTTTTAAGGCTTTAAAACTCAGAGACTAGGTTGCGTAGAGAGGAAGAGACCGACAGATCTATGCTGATCAAGAATATATATATATTTATATATATATTATATTTAAATTAGATATAAAAAGATGAAAGGAAATACACTTTTGATAGCCGAAGTTTATATTCCCTTGCAATCTGTGAACATTTTTCAACTTGCAAATTGCTGTCCGATTTAAGCCATCGTTTTACAGTTTCCTTGTCCATGTCCTTGTCCTTCGCAGTTGAAATTAAATTCCCAAGGATTTAAATTGCTTAGATAGTCCGCTTGTTGCCCTTAAACTCAATTGCTTCGACCTGCTAATGGTTCGGGGAAATCTAATATTTCCGCAGATTCTCAACAGGCCCCCAAAGCAATGTTTTATTACACGATGCTTATGTATTATTATATTTAAATGAGGTTGGCTTAGAAATCACGAGGCCCAGGGTGTTGGCGGTACAATATTTACAGTGCTTGGCGAAAGCCGCAAACTAAAGACTTGACTTTTATGCGGCGGCCAGAGCAAGAAAACAGCAACAACGTTGGTTGGCAGAAGCAGCGGCGCAAACAGTAAAAACAAAACAAATCAAAGTAACAAACTGAGCAAAAAGTTGAGCTGGCAAAATTGCGCGTTGGCTTCAAGACAAGGACGAAATAGGGACGGGATTCAGGATAGATACACAGTGGAAAAAATGGCAGAGGATAAACAATTTCAATGGAAACTATAGGTATCTATATATGTAATATATAATATATAGAGGTAATATCCTTTTTCTAGGATTATTAGCTAACAAATATTTATTAGAAGGTATTAGAGGATTTAAATATATCAACAATCAATCTCTAATGAACTCATGAAAATAGTTATTTTCATACCCAAAACCTCATGTGAAAATCAGTCAAATTAGATGACTATTCTCTCAGTGCATTTTGGCCAGTCAGCCAGCTCTACGCAGATTAATTAGTTGAGGCTGCCAACCTCTCCTTCCCCTTCCCCCCGGCAGACGCCCCTTAAACCATTCCTGGCACATGCTGTTGCCTGTTTTGTTGTAATGAATTTTAGCTAGTCAGCAAAACTTTTATGCCAATGGCGTTTTGAGGTGGGGAATTGGATGAAATAGAATGCTGCCAGCAACCAGAGGGCGTGGTCCTGCCCGCAGGACGACTGAGACCAGAGAGCATGGCCAAAAATTCGAATCGAACTGTTGAAAAAGCGCAAGATTTATCACGGAGGTTAAGAGGGTACCGAAAATTATAATATTATAAGTATTTGATGCTGTTGGGTATGAGGCGAGTTAATGAGCCACATTTTGGATTATTAAAGTTGGTGACTTGGCAACGGGTAGGTCGAGATCTTTGCTCCTTGCTCCCTGCAATGCATTGGCAATTTTTTTTTTTTTTGTTTTTGTTCTAATTCCCCCATATCGATGACTCAGGGGTTAAGGGGTATTCAGCGATATTTGCAAAGTCAAACGAAGCGTAAAGTCACGATTAGTTAGACAGGCGTGTTAACGACGCTGTCTGTGGGATTCGGTTTGGGATTGGGAGGATGATGCTCCTGGTGGGGTGCAAGGACTCGGTATGGGTTGGAATCTACCAAGTGTTTTTGTTCCTGCGGCTTGCCAATATATGCGTATTAGTACTGCCAGGACCTCGGGCACCCCCTCCTGCTCCAGTTGCCATTTTAATGAGCTGCTGCTCTATGGGTGCACGGAGTGAGACAGAGAGACAGAGAGAGAGAGCACGGGCACAAACAAAACTTTTGATGCGCGCATTAAGAATAACCAGAAAAACGTAACGGAAAAGCGGAAAATCGGAAAATACCATGGAACGAGAGGAGGAAAAACACACGCAGCGCAACGCAAACTCGAAGAACTTTTCATTTTATGCGACCAAAGTTTCGCACCGCGACGTGCTAATTAAATGCCTCTTTGCCTAATGAAGTTACAACTACGGCACTACAAGTTTTAAATTAATGATCAAAGATGACCTGACTATCTGTATAGTAATACTAGAAGGTATAGAGAATAAATTAAAGCAATAATTAAATTCCAAATAAATAAAAATAAAATAAAATATTTCTACCTCTTTTTGTGAACTGTAACATTTCAACTATGCAAATTATTATTAATTACTTGTTCTCCGGCTAAAGCATCCGCGTATTAATTAATTGTTTTCCCTTTCCTCTTGCTCCTCAGATCTAATCCCCATGGACTATTATCCGGATGCCCATCCGGCCCTGCATTTGGTCGTCTACAGTGTCAATCAGAAGGGACGCTCCGAGCCGATTGTCCTTGAGAATGTGCCTATCAATGAAGCGGACAAACGTTCAGGTAGGTTCACAGGACAACACACAAAAAAATAATAAAAAACGCAAATGAAAACTATTGCAAAGTTTGCTGCCAAGCGGGAATGGGAGGGGATATTTGGGGTGGGTAAACTTCCCCTAGACCAGGACAGAACATTCATTGCTTTTTAAGCACCATTTCACCTTTAAAAAGTCATTCAAGTATTTGCATATTCCGCTTAACCGTTTTAGTTCCCTTCTTTCACTCATTTCTTTTGTTGTGGTTGTTGTTACTGCCGCTGTTAGTACAATTGCTCTTTTATTTAACGAGTTTTGTTTACGCTGGAGCGACACTGCAACTCCACTTGGGCTCCGCGGATACCTCTGCACCTCGAATCCTCCTCTGTCCTCCATAGCCCACATCCTGGGATGGCCAAAGTAGTGACACAAAGATTTCTTATTCATGCTTTGTTATTCAACTTTGACGCTAATTTTCTTTAAAAGTTTTTCCCTTCCGGCGACAGTCGAGGTAAAAAGTGTAAAAGCGTTTGTTTTTCCAAAGAGTGTGTGTGAGTGTGGAGAGAAAAAAAGTAAAAGGACATTATTCAAAATTACAGTGCAGCAGCTTAGACTACAAGCATGAAATCCATTATTCTTCAAACTTGTCCCAATAGAGATTAAAATATTTATGCTCAAATATGTTGAACCCAGCAAATAGAGCACAAATTATCCTAATATCTATTAAATTATTTAGATTATTTCCCATTGTAAGCATTTATTTCCACCGAATCGATATCTTATGAGAAGGCATTTATAATTATATTCCCAAATGTATTCAAATTGCATTTATTGTCCCTTATTCAATCAGCCAAATATCATCGCAAACGAATTATGCACACTACTTATTTATCGATTTATTGCATTGGCAATTCCAATGCCAACACTAACTGACCAGCATCATTATTAAACTCATCATGGTTACCTGCATTTAGCCCACATGGAGAGAATTATGTACACTTATGTCCCAAATACTGTCCGCACTTGGTCGGCCAATAATGTTTATCTGCACAATTGCATATATTTGAACGCTTCAGTTGCCAATCACCATGAGCAACAAATCCACTCAATCATCTCCTTAATGCGACCCAGACACACACACACACGGAGGCGACTCCTGCCTGGCCCTTATTTTTGGGGGGGGGGGGGGGGGTGTGAGGTCCTTTGGATTGAAGATTGGGACAAACTAATCCGATGAGTGGAGTAAACATAACTAACAATACTGTTTAGTGGCAATCCACAGAATGAGTGCACTGAGAAGAAATGATATATATTAGTAAGAAATATGAATACCTTTTAGAGTGTTATTTATTTTTTAGTTAGTTTTAGAATTAGTTAAAAATGTTATCAAGCAATTAGTAATATATTACTCGAAACGTTGAACATAGTAATGGAGTATTGTCTGCAGTAAATTATGTAATTTAGGAAACATAAATTCTGTATTTTGACATAAATTTCATAAGGATTTTATATCCTAATTCTAAGAACTTGAAATACTCAGCTGCTCCTATAGAATACTATATGCAATCCAACCAAGTCAATATTTGCACCTTTCGTAAATCTAAAAAGCTTTTATACCAACAACAGAATGAAATTGGTTAGTGGCGCAAACAGGGAAATGCGGTGAGCGGGAAAAGCGGAACATTTTTGCAATGGCAACACTTGATGCCACATTAATGTAAATATAATCAATTTCATGTTTTAGCCAGCCAAAAAAAAAAAGAAAGAAAATGCGATGGCGAAGTAAAACCTCAGCAGAGAAAGAAATATCTTGTTATGCTAAACTGACACACAGAGATTCCCCAGGAGTTACATTATTCCAGCATCACACCCACACCCCCTACACCCGCACACCCACTATGGCAGGTGCACCCACACTGCGGTCGGGCGGGAAACAAGGTATCAAAGGCAGCCGGAGGAGCGGCGGCGGAAGTTGAACAGACAAGCAATGGCTTCAGCTTCACGTTGAGCTCGGGATCGGGCTCGGGCACAAAATATAAACGATTACTGTACGACAAGAAAAAATACATTAAACATGTCTTATCTGAATACAATATCCCCAAAAGACAACGGTGCAGAAAGTGAAGTAAAATAAAATAAAATTATATGTTACAGCGGATCGAAGTGCGGGGCGAGGGTAAGGAAATGTGACCGCCATTGCAATAGATGACAGCTCCCGCCTCCATTTTCTTTTTTTTCAACGCTGTCTGCCTTGTTTCCTTGAAATTGAGAGTCAGGAGCACACAACGTTTCCTTTATTTATGCTTACTTTGTGTAAACGCATTCCCACATGGGCACAATGCCATACACTGGCAGAAATTTACAACATTCTATGCATCTTACTCATTTCTCAACATTTACATTTTTGTCAACAAAGCGAATGATGGTAATAGAGAACGAAATTTTAGATTAAGATTTGATTTGACTCAGATTTCTGTCAGTGTCCTTTTGGATATTCCCAATACATTTTAACCAATCCACTTTTTCATCATCTCGTCGATTCATTTATATCACAAACGGGAGCATTAAATCGAATTAAGCTTATGAGAAGACGCAGCCGGAAGGAGGATAGCCAGGTCCTGCACTCATCCAAATGAAAACCATGCAAACAATTGGCTTATGAGCGGCACGAAGGGCTCCGGCCCGTCCCGTTCCGGCTGCTCCAGATCCTGGCCCAGACCAGTTCCTATCCGTATGAGGATATAGGGGAGGATACGGACACCACACACCACACCACCACCATCACCAGAGCCAGGTGAGCTCGTGGTACCCACACGAACTGACTCACTCGATGGCTCTTTGGTTGGTTGTCTGGCTTATCTGCTTAAGTCGGGGCATGTGCATAGAGTATGGAGATGGCCCCTCCGGTTCTGGCACACCGTTTCCAGGTGGTTTTATTGGTAAATATTTGCACAAGTGTGAAAATTTCATTACGCCAGTGTGCTTATATTTAAATTAAATTTCTTTTTTTCTTTTGGCATCTCTCACCTTGGGCACCGCGACGTGTCGTCGTGGGTCTCCATTTCAGTTTCAGTTTTCTGTTTCCTGTTTCTGTTTCAAGTGCCCTCTTCCTGGATGCCAAATATACATTTTATTTGGCAAGCGATTGCTCGATTCGGTTTTTATTCCTTTGTGTTTGGGTTTTTTGGCAATACGATTGGGGATTTGTCGCTCGACTCGAGGACATCCATACATCCGTATATGATGGAGTGTGTGTGACGGTGTCTTAGTGCCGATTCCTCACATTCTGACATAAATGAGATAGTAAATTACGTATACGCCCCGTGCCGCTATCGTATGGCGTAACATCAAGCGGAGTGATGAATTTATAATGAATTAATATTCCCACTTTCGAATGACACAGAATGGAACTGAATCAATTTCACATTTAATTTAAATCTTTTGCCCCAAACCCAATCTCTGGGCACATCAATTCATAAATCATTCAAGCGTTCCACGAACATTACGAAATTAAATAAAGCTTTATTTATCCGCTCGAACGAGCGTTAGGAAAAGTATACAGTTGGTTTTCTGTAGCTGAATTTTCATTCAATCCTGATGGAGCAATTTCCCTTCATTGATGCCTTTTCCCAAATCCATTGGTAAACTGCATTTACATATGTGTTGTCCGATCTAATTAAAATTTATAATGTTTGTTAGTTTTCTCTTTTCACTTTCTATCGAGCCTAATTAAGACGCAGGACGTTGCAACAGTTTGAGTTAATTCTGCATAATAAAGCTACGGTTTAGTTAAATTACTCAAAATGTTTTACATTTGTTGAAAGTTTAGTGAAAATAAAAGCTGAAGTTGAAATTAGTTTAAATGAGTTTCTGGTAGTTGTTTTTCCACCAAATTAAATATAGTAAAAAAACCATACATCTTAATATACCATTATTATATAAAGCTCTGTAAGTGTAATAAAATAATATTCAAATTTAAGGTAACTAGGTAATTGCAGACAATTACCAATGTAAAATTTAATTATTAATTGTTACCTTTGGTTCAAATGATTAATTTATTATTCTTATTTAAGTACAAGCTTTGTATTTAGTCAAATCAATTTTGCAAAAAAGGAATTATTTAATTAATAAAATCACATAATTAATAGTTCTTTATTATATCCTATTAAATTAACTAAAGCCTTAGGTTAAACATATTCATTAGCAATTATATAGACACTGCAAAGTATGAAACGTGCTGTCTGGCTAAAATCACAGCCAGAAAACATAAATATTTATACTTTTTGCTTAAAACAAAAACCCTGTGCCGGCAATTACAACACACATACAAATTAGTCGAAAACGATATCCAGGGACTGTGTGTGCGGTGTGTGTGTGGAGTGTGTGTGGAGTGTGTGTTGAGTGTTGTGTGTGTTCGGTTAGGCGCAGCCATGCATAAATGAGCCATTTTGCCGGCGGCGCAGTTTCGTCAACATTTGGCGCGGCGGCAGCCAAAGAATATTTATTGATTTGCGACATTTTGCTGACAGGCTTATAAATTAGCAGGCTATACGATACCCTTAACAAAGGAATAAAATATAACAAATAATAGATAATTACTATTAGAAAATATAATAATATACTTAAAGCAACATTATCTTGTTCAAGAATTACATTAAAATAAACCGATATAAAAGGTATTCTAGAATTTAATTCTTAAGGGAGTTTAAATAATACAACATTATAGATTCAGAATTTATCAATGATTTTATATGGGTTTTGTATTCATAATTCCTTTCTTCATTTTCCCTTTTTGTGGATGTCTTTTCCCCTAACAGGGTATTATGATTATTTCAACCAAAATCGTGAGAATTTTTTATTCCCGAAATCCCAAAGATTTGCTTATCCAATAACTACCAAATTTTCGCTGATATTTGCTTATTGATATTCTGCGTTGCATATCCGCAGGCGCGCACGATTTGTTCGAATGACGAGTTTCCGCATATACAGGACCTGGGCGTTGCGTATACGCAGTGTGTGCGGCCTTGTAATGCATATTCAATTACGTTTCACCCCCTCCTCTCCCCTCTCGTAAAATCGAACGAAAATTCAGCCGGCAAACAGATTTTAATTGAAATGCTTAGCTGTGATGTTAAAGCCATGGCAAATATAACAAACTAAGCGGGATAGCCGACTGAAGGACGGCTGCCTGTGGCAGCCACTTGACATGCGACGTGCGTTTTATGGGAGGTACATATAAAGATATGTACATATATCGCCGGATACGGAATTTTCCACGAGAGTAGCAGGTGGCGTTGGGAGAATTTGGCGGAAAAAGAGCTGGGCGAGCAGCATTCAAGTGGCCAATGCCGCATCCAGTTTATTGGACCCTCGAGGACCAATGGCTATTTATCGAATTCAGTCAGACAAAGAACTGGCATATTGCTTTCATCATCGAAATTCGCGAGTGAAACGTGTGTTTCATTCACTCATGTGTGCTTTATTTTACAAATTGTATTTTAAGTGGGACATTGTCGAGTATATATCACCTTTGAACTGAATTGGAAAAATCGATTTATATTAACAAAAATGTTTCTTTTTATATCCTTAAAGAGTATTATAATTTTAGTCAGAGGCATGTAACGATGTTAATGAGTCATTTCTGACCCTATAATTCATCTATAATATTGTTTAGCATCAACAGGCGAATCATTCTGTCTACTTTTAGTCAAAAAATACATTTTCGAAATTTTTTGAAAATAATTTTAAGGGGTTTCATTGTTTAAATTATAAAAGAGTTGGCAAAAATTTTAATTTTTAAAAATTATAAATTCAGTATGCAGAAAACAAACATAAGAAAGCTTTTTGAATTAAAATTAATGCTTTTTTTGGCTTAGTTATGAGTTTTTTAAACTTAGAACAAATTTCCTTCTATTTTTAACTATCGATTGTATGGCAGCTATATGATATAGTAGTCCGATTTTTAATACAATTTTACATACAATTTTAAATTAATATATAATAGCTATATACCAAGTTTGGTGAAAATCTGTTGAAAATTGGAAAAGTTATACATTTTTTCTTAAAATTTTCCGATCGTTCCTATGGCACTTAATTATTTATATATATATAGTCCACCGATTCGCCATGCACCGACTCATATACTAGTAAAATTATATAGAAGAATAACTCCATAGTTTCAATCAAATTTGTTCCTCTTCAATTTGTTCCAAAACAAAGCTCGCACATGTATCATATGATTCCCAAGCAGTTCTAACATCCCCGGAACGAAGTGTCTAATGCCAACCAAGTCATAGATATGTGTTGTGTTACAAAAGTTGCAAGTCATTGTTTATTAGTGTTCAAAGTTAGTAACTGCTTATAGATACTTACTGGTTATAGCTACTAACTGATCATACATTCTTACTGTCTTTAGATACTTAGTGCTAATAGTTAATTACGGATCACAGTTACTTCATGTTCATTGATAATTAGTGATCATAGTTACTTACTGGTCATAGATACTTAATGTTCAGAGTTATTAACTGCTCATAGTTAATTACTGATCATAGTTAATTACTGATTGCATATGATTCCCAAATGGTTCTAACATCCCCGGAACGAAGTGACTGCTGCCAACCAAGTCTTAGATATGTGTTGTGTTACAAAAGTTGCAAGTCATTGTTTATTAGTGTTCAAAATTAGTAACTGCTCATAGATACTTACTAGTTATAGATACTTACTATTCAGAGTTACTTACTGCTCATAGTTAATTATTGCTCATAGTTAATTACTGATCATAGATACTTACTGATCATAGTTAATTACTGATCATAGTTAATTACTGATCATAGTTACTTACTGGTCATAGATACTCACTGATCATACATACTTACTGGCCATAGATATTTACTGTTCAGAGTTACTTAATGCTCATAGTTAATTACTGATCATAGATACTTAGTGATCATAGTTACTTACTGATAATAGATACATACTGTTGAAAAATACTTACTGATCTTCTACATTTAACAACCGTTTCTCTGGCAGTTATATTATATAGTATTCCGATTTTCATAAAACTAAAAACGAAATTCTATAATAATAAAAGAAAGCTTTGAATCAAAGTAGATAAAAATCTGTTGAAAACTGAAAAAATTATAATTTTTTTCTCCTTCACTGCGTTGCAAACTTCTGACTGAAATTATAATACCCTGCAAGGGTATAAAATGTAACTAATAATATATTTTTGCATTTATTATATTACATTTTAATGTTTAGACGGGATATATCCTTCCTTTCCTAGTACATATTTTTTTGATTTATTGTGGAAATTATTTATTTTTCAGATGGTCGCATAGGCCTATCGATTTTACCACTAGCCGCTCTTCTCGCCGGCACCTTATTCACCGTGGGCATTGCCGTCCTATCCGTGGTGGTCATCGCCGTACGTAGAAGACGTGGCCAAGGAGCTCGAAACATGTGCGATGACAAGGACAAACACCTGGGTGAGTCATCGCGACTTAAAGATAACAATGATAGACATTCCTAGCCCTAAGCAAGGGTAGTCACAACCTCGACTACATCCGGCTACATCCTTCCTATCATGTTGCTAATGTTTCATACACCTGACAGGCATGGATGTGACAGTGACGGCGCCCCTGGAAACCGGCGCTGGTCATCAGCGTTTGGTGGTGGCCTATACCCTGAAGCAGGGCATCGAGAAGCAGCCGGACATTTTGAGCGCCCAGAAGAGTGCCCCAACTGGTGGTGACGTGGCGTCGCCGTTGGGAAATCGGCCGAGTGGTTTGTTCACCGGAGGAGGAGTAGGTGGATGTGGAGGAGGAGGCGCTGGCGGTGCATCGGCCGCTCCCATGGCCAACAGTGCAGTGAGCCACAAAACCACGGATTATGTAAGTGCCGGTGGCCAGCAGAAGGCGTTGCTCCCTCTGGCTGTGTCACCTTAAAGCAGAAATTGCAAATAATTCAAGTACTTTGCTTAAGTGCAATAAACTTAAGCAAGGGAATTGAAATATTTGAAATATTTACAATTTAATGAGTATATTTATTTGATTTTAATTTGTAATTATTGCTTTTTTCAGGATACGAATGCCCCGCACCTGAACAGTCCGCCCTCGCAGTCCAGTACCTTGAAGCTGGAGAGTGACCCCGCGGCGACAGCAGCCGGTGGCAGGAGCGGCAATGCCCCTCCACTCCTCTACGATGCCATGCCTTCGCTTAGCCGCTACGAGCAACTGGGCCTCAGCATGGCCAACTATTCCGCCGGAGGAGGTGCCGGCACTGGTGGCAGCAGCAGCACGCTCAGCTCCGCGGGCAGCACTGTCAGCAATGCACTCGCCGCCAATGGGGTGACAGGTGGTGCCGGAGCCGGAGGCTATGCTTCACACCTGCACCACACGTTGCCCCACAACATGACCCAGCAGCAACAGCCGGGAGGCAGCCTACAGCATCGCGGTCACGATCCGCTGAACATGGGCGACTACCTGGCCACCAGCAGTCTGATAGACTATGGCCTAAACAAACCACCGCCCGCCGCGCACATGACCCTGCCCAAGGGCCTGGGTCTGGGGATGGGTATGGGAATGGGCCTGGGCATGGGCATGGGCTCGGGCATGGGTATGGGTTCCGCGATGGCTGCTGGCACGAGCCTATCGCCGTCGCAGCTAAACACCATCACGCACAAGTCGGCGGCCGGGCGAAACCACATCATCACCGACACTCTGCCCGGGCCGGAGAGCTGCGTCTAAGCATCATCCTGTCATTGTCCTGGCATCCAAAACCAAAAGACTGGCGCACAGCAAAGCAGCCCAAAGCAGCCCGAAGCCGAAACGAAGTGGCAGAGCACTACTAACTAGCCATATGGAGATGCAGTCAAAGGAATAGTATTTCCCAAAAATCCCTTTGTTTTCAATTTTAAATACTATTCCTTGGGATTGCAACTGCATATGATAATCCTGCTCGGCGGCATCGCTTAGAAGTAATTCTTAGACCTAGAAGTGTAGCTTCAATACGATTATTTATATGTAACGCGTGTGTGTCTGTGTCTCTGTTCGTTTGTAAATGTTTAAGCTAAGTGTAGTCTTACTTGTATACTATATACGTTGACTGGTGTATATCGGAGTGCCTCCGATAGAGTTCAGTTTTTATTAATTTGAAGGGGGCTGCCCCCCAAAAGGTGAAACTTATCTTCCAAGCCCTGAACTCCACGCCACGAAACGAAGCTCGTTGTTAAATCTTTTTAACCCGCAAAACATATCCCTGCCTAAGCAAATCCACAAACTATTTGAACTGCCCAAGATCAAAGTCATAGCAGACCCAAAAAATATACAAACAAAAAATAACCGAAAAAAGGAAAAGTTATATTGGACACGTCTTGCGCCATTGCGTGCCCGGTGCTGGTCATTATTTAACTTTTAAACACGCGCCAAAAACAGCAGCAGATTTGAATTTAATGGTCACTCCAGCAGCCGCTCCCCGCAAACACCATTCGTCCCTTTCCAGTCCAGCTCCAGCTTTTCCACTGCTAATAGCGACAGCCAACAAGTGAGCAATAAAGAAAAGTTTAGAAAAATATGCGATGGCCACCCCATGGCCACCATGGCCACAATCCCGAGCCCCAAGTAAAAATGGGATTCCCCCCCTCAATGCCTCAACCCCGATAATAAGCTCACGAGCGATTGAATGGGTATAGAGCACAATAAAAGCGGCGGAGCACAAGAACAGGGCACGGATTTGTGCGCACGATAGCGCAAAACGATGACAATAAATGGAAAAGTTTTTAATAAGCTAATAAAATGATTTATGCGGGTCGAGTCCGGGATAAAAAGCGCCTAGCCACACAGAGTCGATTCCACTTCAAAATGGCGATTTGATGAGCCCGAATTTTGGCCACTTCCGGCACCTCATTGACGGACACACAACGAAAGTATTTGTAAATATTATTTATGGGCCATAAAATGGGTCGATGACCGCAGCTTAGGCAGTTCAAATAGTTGGAAAACTCTCACTTTTGATTATCGTACTTTTCATTGGAACTTGTTATCAAGGCATTAGCATATCAGAAATTCGTATTAAAAGCAAACAGAAAGTATTGCAATGGAACTATATCATAGACAAGGGCTAAACGACTATAAGTGTTCAAAATTATGCCATATCATTTGTGCGATTTCTTTCGATAAACGTCTTAACTTTCCAACCAGAAACGGAAATATATTACAAAAAACAAAAATAATTAAGCGGAAATCATCAATAGAGTTTAGTAAAATCAATGTAATGTCATAATGTTTAATGGTTAAAGTTATAGAGCATTCCATGGCAAACTAATAGAGCAAATCGTAAACTTCCTCCAAGTTTATATATATGTTAAATATATATAGGCAAAAGTCCCCCTGCTGTAGATATCCAAAAAAAGAGTGCGAGTAGTGAAAAATTGTAAGCGAAACCGAAACCTGTAGAATCATGCCCTTAAGCTGAGAAGACCTATTAAATGGACCTCAAGAAGAGCAGACCTTGTACATACATATGCATATAGCAAAACCCTAACAAAAAAATACAGACGTACATATACACATCATTGTAACTAACGACATATGTAAAAATGCTTAAAATATTTGTGATAAAGTAATAATGTTAATGATAAGAAAATAAAACGTAAACATTAAAGAATGGAAACTGTGTTTGAATTTATGTCTGAAGTTAAGGAAAAGTAATTTTAATTTTAATTTAATTAATTTCACTTTTATCCATAAGTATGCCGAATTCGAAAATAATTGATATTTTTCCATAATTTCTCAGAACAGAATATTTAATTCATAGAAGGAATACCAGTTTTTGCAGTAATGAGTGTTATTTTCAAATTTAAATGATTCCCGCCATCATCCCCAACTGCTGACTTTTCCCGGGCAGTGCTGTAAACGTGTAAAATTGTTCTGAACACGTGTAAAATTTAAACTTGTAGTAGCAATTAAAAAAAAGAACGGCAGTGCCATTGATACGTTCTCATCTCTAACCTTGCAACCGACAGCCAACGAGAGAGAATTCTGTTAATTTACTTTCTATCTGGATAAGATTAGATCTTTCTTCATGGGAATTCTACTTCCTACCTCTTACATGACATTTCTATCCATGAATCTGTAAACACGTAAAATTGTTATCTAGACGTGTAAAATGTAAAATATTAAATAAAATAAAATATCGCGATATAAACTTATCATTTTGAGAAAAAGGAACAATCGATTTATCGATATATTGATATATTTTCAGCAACCAAAGCATCAACATAAACAAAATGTTTTTAATTGTTAATCACGCCCGCCAAAATTAATAAGTGTTTTAATAGCATTCAATAGTATCAAGAATGCACATTGTAATGCTAGTGTAATGGAAATGGATATCCAACCACCATAATAGAGACGCTTGTACGCAGAAGGTCATCTCTCGCAATTGAGGATTGTTGCATCAGAAAACCAGTTTCTTGGTGGCCCATTGCACCAATTGTGAAATGTGAGTGTGCAGTGCATTGACTTTGTTTCTCTTAGCATGATGAAATCGCGATGTTTATTATGTAGTATGTATATGTATGTTTCCAAAGAAGTCGGGGTTACAATTCATTGATTGTGGGTGACACGTATGTAGCAATGCCAGTTATTCCCCGCAATTCGAGCAGAAAGCTTTCCGCGAATCGGTCCCAAATCAATTTCGTGATTTAGCGTCAGGTCCCCAGACCCCAGACGCAGCTGATCCGATCAAAACAAACTTGTGTGTAGAAAACCAGAACAGAAGCAAACGTTGCGAAAAGACGCGAAAAGCTGACCAAAATACATACGGGCCAAACCTTAAGGGCTTGGTCGACTTGTTGATGCGGTTCGTTTAATTACTTAAGTTAATCTCTTATTTGATTTTGAAATAAAATAACCAACTCAAATCGTTTGTGTATTAACAGGATAAATCCCTCTAAGCTTAGCTTGAATTTAATTTATTGTTTATTAATATAATTAATATTTTTATTCGAAAATTAATTCAAATGAAATGTAATAAGTGTGCGTTCAAAATTTTAAATATTTTTCGGATTTACCGATTTTCGCCTCACATTACTTGTGAACCCAGTTACTCCCCCACATATGCTCTGCACTGTAGGGTACCAGAAAAGCTCTTGAATCCTATTTATGTACTCATCGTGCCCCGTAGTTGGGCTTGTTGTCTCTCGCACACTCATTCGTTCGCGAGCACAAAGCAGAGCAGGTTATAAACAAAATCGAAAGCACGAATTCGGTGAGAACCCAGAAGCGGACAACCGAATAACAAATTTGGACCTGGGCAAATGTGAAGCGCAGCCAAAATCGATAATTTGTGTCAGGCCCGCGCGCAAATAGGAACTGTTTTTGTAAAAATTGCATATCAGAGCTTCTGTGGCTCCTTTTAAAGTGTGATTTGAGTGGAAAACTTGTAGTTTCTGGTGAGGATTACTCTGCTTTCGTTACTTTTTTCCCCACCATCTTCACCCTTCTGTTCGTGTGTATCCAAACAAAGGCAAACGTCATGGCAAACATAAACAAGCGTTTTCAAGGTCGATGCAAGTCAAAGAGGACAGATAAAAAAAAAAAATTGAAAAACTTGATGGATACATAAGCATACACAAATGTGGTTAAAAAATATCATAATACATTAAAAATTTTTTTTTACAATTAATTTTAAAATGTGTTTGTGGTTTTACTTTATCGAAAAAAAAAATTGATTTTTTAAGAATGATATAACTTTATCTTTTACTTTCATATATTAACAGTATTTTCGCGCACGAAGCGAACGTGCCTGTCTGCTTGTAAAAAACAAAGACAGCTTACATGAAAAGTATTCAAACTGTTGTATAATTTACAAATTTTTAAATAAACATTAAACAAAATTTTAAGGCCTTAAATGCTATTTTCTCTGCCACAAGTGTTTTTTAAAAATATGTGAACTTTTGTTTGGATCTCAATGTCGCAATTGGGCCAAAATTGTTTTGGCATTTCTATAAAACGCTTTGTTTCTTTGTTTAGATGGAAATAATGGGATTGATTTTTTCTTATGGCTTAAAATATTTTCATTTTAGCCAGCACCTAGGAGTATGGAGTCCTTCCTCAGCCTCTTCGATCCTAACCAGGACGACGGCTTTGACGAGGAGCCGGAGCTGAATGGCAACAGCAGCGGAGGAGGCAGCAGCAGCAGCGACTACGAGACGGATGCCAATTTAAATGAGTGCGCACTTGGCCTCGTAGGTGGTATCCCCACCGAGCGTGGTAACCTGATCTTCGACTTCGAGCAGGGAATGCTGCCGCCAGAGCCGCAGATTGGAAATGTGGAGTACAAGCTGAAACTGGTGAATCCATCGAAGCAGCGATTCGAGCAACTGGTCACGCAGATGAAGTGGCGGCTACGTGAGGGAAATGGTGAGGCTATCTACGAGATTGGTGTATCCGATGCTGGTTATCTCCAGGGACTCAGTGACAAGGACATGAACGCCTCGCTCACGACACTCAAGCAGATGGCTCATCACTTGGGAGCCAGCACCTCGGTGCTCCGTCGGAAAACCATCAGTTCTCGAAGGGTTGTAGCCGAGGTATTG